CATGTAGGAAATGAGCCTAGTGATTATAATTGCCCAACCTATGCATAATAAACGGTGCGAGCCATTCGTTCTAAAGTCTGCTTCTTCTTCAATGTTGGCTATGCGCTCGCAGCCATTCGTATCCCAAAGTTCATCGAGCTCAGTGAAGTTTATTCCGCCAGGGGTCAGTTTTGCTTATGCCTGAGGCTAAAGGAAGCCAGGTAACCTCCTCCCCCGAAGGGGGGGTGAGCGCAATAAAGTTAAGTAATGCCAGAATGAAGGCCGACGGACCACAGGACGCCAGGGGCACTTCCCCCCAGCGGCCTCTCCATCCCTACCTGAGCCGCGTCTACTGCGACAACCAGTCCGCAGTCGCGCAGCTTCGTATCTCCCACTAGCCCGAGGCTAAAGGAAGCAAGGTAAACTCTCCCCTCGAAGGGGGGCTGGGCCCAAATTAAATCAAGTAATGCCAGAAGGAAGGCCGGCGGACCGCGCTTGGATGGCGCAGCCACCTGGCGAGAGGAACTAGAGTGGATATAGAGGAAATACACTCTACTCCGTGGTTGGTACTATCGTACTACTGTTGGCATTCAAGGCCACTCCGTGTCGGCCCAATACGGCGTAGTTCCCGCGTTTTGCTGTGTTCCACGACCCCCTTCCCCGCGCCAACGAGACTGGCAGTTGCTGCGTGCGAAGCTCTAGCCGCTGTCATTGTAGCTCCAAACTGAACAAGCGCGCTTCCGCGGGCCGCCCGGTTTGCCAGCACACCGGGATGGGCCGGCACAAGCCGGATTCGACTGTGTCTGCACACTCGGGAGAGGCCGTCTCTGTTTCGCGCACTGCCACCCGAGTAAATTCGGGGCCATGGGACTGAAGAAAGAAATCTCTTAGCACCCAGGGAGCCATGACGCGTGGCAGCCACAACAACATATCTTTGAAGGAGGGGAGGTCAATCACGATTGAATTGATAGATCAAAGAGACAATCAAAATTGGAAGAAAATGTCTTGATTTCCACGATACCTGCACTTGATTTGGACTAGCTAAAATCCACGAGTGTGCACTGGATAGACTTTAGAACGCTATCGTCATCGTCCATCGAGTCGATGTTTGAAGTGTCTTTTTCGTCTTTGACGGGTGGTAGGTATGGCGCTTTCGCAGTTCGTGCGGAAAGTGCCGCCCACTCAAATTTGGTGGCCTGGTACCACACTGAACCCGGCACGGCAGAGAGGCCGTCTTTCAGGTTCCCTAGGCGCCGCGCGGGGTTTACCTCGAGCATGCCCTTGATGAGCATTTGAGCATCTGCATCCATCTCTGAGGGAAATCGAAGCTTTGAGTTGGCCTAATTTTCAACTACATTGAGCAGATAAGTCTGCCACATATGTTTCTTAAACCTGGACAATCGCACGAAATATCTGCTGCTGATCATCGTGGACAAACCTGATTCAATGAGAAGGGCTGTCCTTTTGAAGTTGTGCCCACACTGGAGCTGACGGGGTACGCCCGCAGAGTAGCTCATATATGAGGCAGCCCAAGGCCCAACAATCTACGCCTTTGTCGTGTCCTTTAGATAGAAGGATTTCAGGGGCGATGTACCTAAGGTGGAAGTCTTGATAGCATGCTTGCCACATGCAAAGGACACCGTGAGCCCCAAAGGGACAAAGCACGATATGACTCTGGTGTACCACAAAGCGTGAATGTCTGTAACATTTCTTTCCCTTTTTTTTTGTAAGGAATTCTTTTTGCAAACCCAAAGTCAATCATTTTTATGTAACCGGCAGAGTCCATCAACAAGTTCTCTGGTTTTAGATCACGATATGCAACACCCTTGTTGTGAACGTAATGTAGAGCAGACGTCACACACGCCTGCATCAATATGTTGCCCTTCCAAATAATCTCTGGGTTTGATTGATACACTGTTGCGTCGCAGCATAGAACTGCGCTGAAGCTTTTGCCACTCCACCAAGCGAAGTGCGTGACAGTAAATGCTTCTTCTCATAGATGTACTGCCAAAGTTCACCTCCTTGGATGAGCTCCATTAACAAGAAAAGCTCATCTGTACTTTGGTACGTCATATGTAACTTCAACACAAAGGTGGATGCACACTCATAAAGGAGGTCACGCTCTGCAATCACGTTCTTCTCTTGTTGCTGTTTTACAACCTGTACCTTTGACATACATTTGAGTGTGTACCTAGCCGGACCGTATTACTATTAGAATAGTTGCTTGACCGACGCCCGGGTTAGGTTGTGACACGCTCGCCGTTCGCGTGTGTTCCACGAGCTTTACCCGGCCAAAGGTACCTTGGCCAAGTAAGCGGCATACCGTAAGTTCCTCGAATGGCGGTAGCAATAAACCACTTTCAGTTCCTGCGAGACTCAGATTATTGGGGAGGGGATGTTAATTTCATCACTGCTTTGATGCCGATTGGAGTTCCACCCATATTTTTTGACCTTGTAATTTTCTGACGTCGCTTCATCTCCTCTTCGAATTTCCCCGCTGTTCCAGCTGTGTTGATTAGCAAGGATTCAAATTTTTTGCGCTCCAGGGTGTAGCAAACAACATCTTCTGTTGCGAACACGGAAGCACTCCGCGGGGAACCATCAATGAGCGAACGCTCGCCGAAGTAGTCTCCCGATTGGAGCTGCCCAATAGTCACCCCGTCTTTACTCACCTCTGCGCTGCCCGTTTGAATAACATAAAATGTGGTTCCTTTCTTGCCTTCTCTGATTATCGGAGCGCCACGACTAAACTTCTCAGAGTGCATTGCATTCACGATTGAATCCAACTCCGCGTCTGTCAGTTCTGAAAAAAGTTCAATGGAACGCAAAACATGGAGGCACGAATGTGCTTGTAAAATGCTTTTGAGAGGGCCGAGAAGCTTCACAAAGTGCGCACGGTCGAGCGTAAGGCAGTGCACCTCATCTTTAGCTACTACAGTGGCGTGCCTTGGTGAATTGTCCATCAGCGCCATTTCCCCAAAGCAGTCAGGAGCTGTGAGCGTTGCGAGCTCTTCTTGTTCCCCCCTGGTGTTGACGCGAGTACCTGAGCTCAAAAGTAAGGAGTAGGCAGTTTTGCTGAACGCCAGCTGCCTTTGAGGCAGAAAAAGTAGTAGTGTAACACACGACCGATCCTGTCTCAATTATATAGAAGGCATCCCCCTCGTCGCCTTGTCGTATAATCTTGGCACCATCTTTGAATTTGATGAGCTCGAGTGATTTGACCAAAGCTGTCAGCTTCCGAGAGTCCAGCGTCTTCAAAAGTGGTACTTTTTTGACACACGCTAGGTGAGCGCGCTCGCCTGCGAGTTACGGTCGGACCAAGAATCTCGAAGCCTAATCGGTCACTGGTGAATGCGGGCGCCTGCTTGTTCACGAAGCACATGGCGAAATGACCCAACATCGAGACTGTAAAGGTCACTTTCCTCTGTGGTACGAACAGTCGCCGCGCGCGGGGCGTTGTAGACCAGCGCAAGCTCGCCAAAGCACCCAGTCTCAAAATATTCAGCCAAGAGTTTGCCGTCGACCAAAACCTGCGAGGCGACGCCTAGATTGGATGGCAATCGATTGAGTGCGACCTGGCAGTGACCGTTCACTAGGACGTATAAGTGTTTTCCAATATCCCCCTGGCGGATCACATCTTGATTTGCACTGAACTTCAGCGGCTTCATGACCTGTGAGATGAGAGAAGTTGCTAGCTTAACAAATTCGAAACTCAGGCAAACCTCGACAACATTGTCGAGCTGTCCCGTGGCGAGCTCGCTAAAAAGATAGTTACGCGATAAGATTTTTCGAAGGCGAACAGCTTCCTCGGGGGTCTTTGGAACCAGCTGAAACACACAGACTGGCAATGTGGAAGTACCGTCAATATAACTTACAACTTTCTCGAAATCTTCCTTGACCACAGTTTTGATGGCACCCCTCTTCTTCAAGCCTAGAAATTGCATTGCAAAATGTTGGGGAAGCCAAGCTGTTGTATCTGGGTAAAGCAGTTCGGGGTTAATTTTGACCCCTCGAGCTATGTATGGCACCTTCGGCCCCTTTTGATGCGGCGCCCCTTTTCATGCAGAGGGCCAGGACGCAAGAAATGGCCTACCCGCGGCCCGCCGAGCCGAAATTGCTCCGGAAAAAGCCACGCGACACCCCCGCGACGCCCCTGACCCACGCGACACCCCCGCGACGCCCCTGACGGAACGGAGATACAGACGCAGGCACCCACCGTGGGGGCGGAATTTCCGCCTTATGCATATGTCAGGTTGATGTTGGTTTTAGTTCAACAAAACCCAAAGCGCCCGTAGGAAAGCGAAGAGGAGCGCCCAAAATGCAGCACACGGGCGCCCTGCCAGTGGGACTGCCAGGGCCCGGGACCGACCGCCGTGGCGCTTGAACTGCCCAGAAACGTCGTTTTGACGGGCTGCCCCCGAACTGAGCTCGCGGACCTGTACGTAAGTGTCGTCTGCGACGCTGATCAGCGCCCCCTCGGCGCAGAGTAGGAGGCTGCCCCATCGCGTGGTGCAGCTAGCGATAGGTATCTCTGGCCACGTTGAGGCCGGACTTGCCCCTGGGGACTATCCGTTGGGAGGCCGTTGACGGGGCTGGAGAGGCCGTTGGGGGGAAGTGTCCTTGGCGTCCTGTGTACCGCGTCGCTGCGCAGCTGCGCTGGATGCATATCTTGTATCATTCCTACACTAGCGCGAAAAAAAACCAAGCTTACATTGAAGAAGCTAGGACCCCTCGACTTCAGAAGACCGCGCGATCGGTCGACTCGGGCGCGCGCTCCCGAGGGTCTAGTGCGGCCTGTGCTTTGCTGTGAACTGAGGCGGCTAGATGGGGCTCCTGCAGGTCCGGAGTCCCATCTAGGTTCTCGTAACCGGTACTAATAACATTACGAAAGGCTCGCGTATTACGGAGAGCGCCCGTGTGAGAGACCTTCCCTGTCGACTGCGCTCCAGGTTCTCCTGCGTCGGGTCGTAGAGCTCGACGTGCTGGAGCACCTAATTGTGCAGCGGCTGGTAAGTGGACTGAAACATATTGTACCTGCAAAAGGCGGTTAATCATTAAAGTTAGCATTACTGCAATGATGCCATTCATGGCATGTTTCTTGGTGGTTTATCTAGGCATGCTGGCCATGCTCCTCTCGTGGTCGTCTCGAATTGGAAACGAGCAACCATCAGTGAGACAACGAGTGGCGAAGTCAATGTCGAATCCACGACTCACATCAACGATGGCAGGAGCGAACACAACGATTTCAGCTGGTGTACTGCAGGACGTTAGAAGCACGAACCTAGCGCCCCAGATGACGGCATTCGCAACGCTGATGTGTGATGACGCGTCGACCCTACCGGCGATGGTACTGGTGACATCACTACTCCAGTCTGGCACATCTGCTCAAATTGTTGTGATGCTTTCTCCCGCAGTGAGTATGGAGGTCAAAGGTGTAGTCGATCGGATTTTACCGGGGCAGGTGGCCGCGATGCGCACAAACACGGTGCCGTACCCCTTCAAGGTGCGACAGGCTGAGGTGGATCGGGGGGTGAAGCGGAGCTGCCGCTATACGAAATTGCGAGCGTGGTCTCTCGTAAGTTTTGATCGAGTAATACTATTGGACAGTGATATTTTGGTTCTTGGGTCGCTCGACTCACTTTTCACAAAGGCATCACGGACAGCAGCTGTTGCAGACATATATCCTAGAGTGTTCAACGCGGGTTTAATCGTGCTTGCGCCAGACAGCGGCGTACACAAACGGCTCGTGACTGCGGCGGGCGCAACTTTTTCGTACAATGAGGGTGATCAGGGTTTTCTGAACTCTTACTTCGAGGCCCATCCCGGAGACGCACTATTCCACGCAGGCGATGCTCCATCTCCCGGCGATACTCCCTGGCAAAGCTTGGATGCAAAGTACAACTTTGCGACGTGGCTTGCGAACTCCATCTATGGAAAGTGGCGCTTTCGTGATTCCTCCCCTGAACTCACTGTTATTCATTTCTCCGGCGAGGTGAAGCCGTGGATTTTTGGGGGCGCTGGTGGGCTAAGGGCCTGGGAACGTTTCTATGACCCCCGCCTCTTTCTCCAGTGGCTGCGTGCTGCAGATGAGGCCGCCGCTCAAGCGGCATGCATCGGTCGGCGGATGAGGCTGCCTGTACACGATGACTTGCAGCCTAAGACTCTCTGTGGCATCGAGATGTGCCGAAATGCGTCGCACGCCCCAAGCTGCCGGAAACTGGCTTGCGAAGCCCTGGCGCCGCGGTTCAAGAGCGGAGCCTTCAAGAAATCCGACTCCAGGGTTACAGTAGTTTTGTCGACGTTCAAGGGAGAACGCATCCCGATCGACGAGCTGGTTTCACATTACGCAAATTCTTCTTACGTGCAACGCATCGCAATAGTCTGGCATGATCCAGAGACGCCGCCACCTACATCTCCCGCACCTCGGCGTGTCATAAAGGCCGGCGACGGTCACAACGTGTCAGTAACAACCTTTTGGCAAACTGAGAACTCACTTAATAACCGATTTCCTATCTTTGATGTATCGACAAGGCAGGTCCTGATCTGTGACGATGATATTTTAGTGTCCCTCGATGATCTAGCGTTCGCATTTGCGGTCGCAAGACAACACCCTGAGCGGCTTTCGTCACCCTTTGTACGGTCGCATCAGCTTCTAGACACCGCGGATGCTCCGCCAGGCGCAGCAAGCATCATGGGCTACTTTGAACATGATCAGAGCTTCCGCATGCACGGCTTCCGGAGATACTCACTGGCCCTGACCAAATTTGTCTTTGCGCCGACCTGGCTACTCTTTGTTTATCAGTGCCTCCTGGACCCGGGTGTCTATGCTTACGTTGATGCCCTAAGCAACTGCGAGGATATCGCTCTAAACCTCGTCGCTAGTGCGGTTGGCCTCTCAGCACCGCTCATGATAGATATACCTGTCACTGACTTTGGCAGCGGGACCGACTCGCTTAGTGCTCGCAGCAGTCATTTCATCGAACGAGACCGTTGCCTGCCAGACCTCGCAGCCCTCCTCGGATTCGACCACGGCATCCGACTCCGCTCATCGGCCCTCGCTGCGGGTCGTTTCGTGTCAACGCGAGTGACTTACGAAGATTTCAAGCATCGCGGAAAGACGCGAGCGGCGCTTGTACCTCGGCTCGTCCTTGAGCGAGATCCCAGCGTGTATATTCTTACCATCGAGGATGCGTTTGTTGACGCCACCCAACCCACTTCAATTATGGCCGAGACATCGCTTCATCTCATGTCTAGGGCTATTGACACGGCTGCACAGCCAAGGGCTCCCAGCGAAGACTTGCTTCTCAAGGCCTCACTTCCTGCCCTTAAGGCCAGGAGTCGCTCTGTCGACGGCACCAGGACCAACCTGGACGAGCAAGCAACCTCTGCGATGCCACACATCGGGGAGACTGGAAAGCGGGCCGCTCTCCGCGCCACAAACTATCTGCGTAATGATGCTGTTATCCTCCTCAAGATAAAACGCGCCGACCTTGACAGTGTTGTCAAGAGAGACGAGAAGCGACCTGTTGTACTCCTCGACGCACGTCTTGAGCGCCTTGACGGCGATGCTGGGGATTGCCCTCTCCGCATCTATTACCTTCCAAAGTGGCCCGAAGACTGGCAGGCGACCAACCTCACCTTCGATCTTATAAAGAATGCCTCCAGAATTTCGAGGGGGTCCAAATTTTTTGTGCCTCTTGTGACCGCTGGGACCCTCGCATTCTTCGACCTCACACAGATTGATAGGGCGTTCATGAAAGCTGCTCTGCACCCTGGTCAGTCTGCAATTAAACCCAGCAACGTTACCTTTGCTCTCTTCTACGATGCTATTGACGCCAGGCGGTACCGCCGCTCCTGCAGATTCAAATCCAGCCGCGGCCC